CTTTTAAATTATGTAAATGACTTCAAAGGACTTATAAAAAACATTAGCCTTGGACTGATACAGTCTTAACAATGTAGAATTATACCCCTGTATTCCCCTTTTCCTTTTTATTCTCTGGTTCTACAATTTGGATTTAAATTTTCATTCATGTTTTTCATATGACATTAATATTATAATCTTTACCCAAGCAACCTTTTAACAATGACAATCTGAAAAAGCAATAAAGAAATCAAAACATGATTCTAGGCCAAGAACTTGCGGTGTATATTCTTTATTTTTGTTTCTTTCCTCTCAGACACTTTGTTGTTTTGTTGTTTCCAAGATCAAATCTCGAAGGTCTCCTCATTCAAAAGTGCCTCCAGTGTACATTGTATACTAAATCAAGGCCAATTAGGGTTAATGAAGGGATTATGAATTTTGAAATGCACCATGCAAAGTCTACCACGTGAATTATTCATTTCCTCATTTCAGTTGCCTACTTTTTCAAAAGAGCCTAAACTCAGATCCCTAATTTGACATTTTGTGTTGGGTGTCCAACAAGGGACTTATATCTAGTTGAAACTAGAAATAAGTCAGAAGTGTTGAGAAACTCTAATCTAGTTAATTCTGCTGAAAAGAAACACATTACACTACAAGGAGCCATGTATCTATACATGATTCACTCTACCTTTAAAAACAAAAAAGGTAATTTTTTTAAAAAACTGACCTGAAATGCTTTTTTAAAATCATATTCTTCAGAATCTATTTACATCTAAGTCCAGCAAGCACCTTACCTATTCATACTTATGACCATAAATCATCACAAAGGCAAACTTTGCTGATATGGTACAATTTAGAATGAGTTCTAACTAAAAAGAACTAACATTTTTATAAAATTTTAGTACTTCTGCTATCTGGAAAACTTGCCAGAGCCTTCCAAATGGCTAAGTTCTCACTACACAAACACTACGGAGTCTTAAAATTATAACACATTTCCCGTGGCTTCCCCTTTGGCCCCCACCCAACTCTTGCCTTTTAATGATGGGCCCTGAACATTTCAGGTGAAGGCAGGAGGGAGGAATGTGAAAACAGTTCTCTTCCTTCTTCTTGCAGTAATCAGGCATCTTACTCAACAGAAGAGTCCCTGAAGGCCTCCCTCAGAGCCTACTTATTCTGATCTTAGATGCTAGTCTAACAACACAGCCATTTATGCAAGTATCTCAAGGGGGTGAGATCAGGTGACTTTAAAGTCTTTCTAATCCAAGAGTCTGTTTTTGTATGGGAGCAGGCAGGATAAAATATCAAACACATGATTCAGAACCAAGAAACCTAGATGATGGTCTCAAACCTGCCAAAGAGTTTGGGCAAGTTAATTCATTCTCTTAAGTCTTCAGTTTCCTTATATATAAAATGCAAAGTATTTCTAATATTTCTTCCAACAGAATTCTAGCCATCCTTTAAGAACAAGTTCAACTTCCACCTCCTCCACAAAGTCATTTACCAGCCCAGCTAAAAGTGATCATTCCCCCAAACACACTGGTCATTTGAAGACACGCTGTTTCTCCTTGACCAAAGAATAAGCAACAGGCAAGAACGTCTTCTGCTTCTTTGTGCCATCACAGTGCCCAACACAAGTGACCGCACATAAGAAGTGCTCATTAAATATATTTGTTCAGTAAATGCATGCACACTTTAACACCTGCAAAATAACATTATACCAGGAACAAATAACACCAACCATTTCACCAAGGCAAGTAAGAAATAAAAGGTTTAAAAAGTCATTTTGGTTTGCTCAAGTGTGCTATTTAATATATCTGAGCCGATAATACAGGGAAAAGTATTCAACACCCATGACATGAGTAAAGAAGAACCAAATTCACCTACCAATAAGGCAGTAGACTATGTAGCCATTTGATACTATTGCTACATAGCAAAGTAAAAATTAGTTTTACTGCAATTAAAAAAAGCTTAATCAGCACAAAATCACAAGGTAGCATTCAAAGTTAAGGCTACGCTAAAGAGTTGTAAGCAGTCTTAGGGTGACTATAATCAGTACCCCCTGTCTGGGAAGCAGTGACTCCATGATTAGGTACCTCGAGCCTCAAGTCCAGAATATTTAGGTATTTATGATACATGATAAGTGGTAAACGGATACACTACATGGTAAGTATGAGAGATATATTATGAAACATGTTAATTCTTGCAATTTCAAATATCAGAACCTGAGAATTCCTTAAACCAAGAACATGACTTGAAATTACCAAGAACAGGCAGCAAGGACCACATCCAATATTTCTGAATCCTAATCTTGGAAAGATTGTTTTGATGAATAATTAGAGCAAACAGGTTTCACAAAGGTAAGAAGGAAGTGAAGCAGGTGGAGAAAAAGTGCTCAAAAATGACAGCGCTTCATGTCTTTTACCTGAAGGAGGGGAGTCGGGAAACACTTACTAGTATCTGGAGTTTTCTCTTCGGGTCTGCCAAATAAAAATTCGTATTTGGCCTTGGCAACACTCTGGGAATGTGCAGATGCATTGTTAACCCAAACAAATGTCTCTGCCTGCAAAATTAGAACAAAACAAAGACATCATTAAAGTACATCATAAAACAAATTATCCAACAGGGGAATGGTTAAGCAATCATGACATAAGTCCTTGATGGGATGCTATATAACCGTTCAAAATGAAACATCAAAAATAGAACATGGAAAAAAATCAGACTATAAAATTATCACTGCATGATTACAACTACAGAAAAATATATACATATGTATAAACATTTACAGGAAAATCAGGAAAAAAAGCTTAGCTTGATTTGGAGGCAGAATTATGGTGGATTTTTTAAAAATTAAGTTTATGTTACTTTTCTGCAATTAGAAAACTATTTAATATTTTTAAATGCATCATTTTCCAAGTGATTATTATTACCCGCAGTACCTAACAAGATTATTTCTTTGTGTGGGTTCTGTTAGAGAATGCCAACACAAAAAAAATAATCTTTCCCCAAAAGAGATCACATTTTTATATAATCAGGAACACCATTCAGCCAAACAGGGCATGGAACAGAACTGCCAGGTATCCCATTTATACTGATTATCTAAATTTAAGCATCTGTCCCAGTGTCCTCTGTAATTCTGAAAAGTTCCTTATTTGAAAGAAAAACTACAAAGGTGACAGTGAAAGTGGTACATGTCATGATACTGAATTTCTAAGACGTCCTTCCTGGCTTCTATAGGCAATTGTCAAAAATCAGCAGTGCCTCTCTTCTCTGGCCTAGGACTAATTAGAAATAAGTAACAGGGACGAAATTTCAAAACACAAAGAAATTTGACTTAGATCAGTGAAAGAGTCCTTCTTCTGCTTCTTTACAGGGAATTCAAACATTAACCAGGATCCAGTTTACCCACACTGGTCTCTATCCGCTGATTATAAGACATCTTCTTTTCTCATGTCTGAACAGTGACTGACCATTAACTTTGGGTGAGAGAAGCGTGAAAGGTTTTATCAGCATCCCAGTAACTAGTTCAAAGAGAAAAATTTTATGACTTGTATTATATCCTTTGGAGCAGAAATGATTGACAGTAGTGAGAAGACCCAATCATAACTCCATCACCCTACCATGGACAGGTTCAGTGGGCAGGCCCTCCTTTGTTCTTCAATGTCAACATCAAAGAGCTAGCTTGCACAATTTTTAGATAGCAATTTATTATTTTTTATTTCAGGAAATTATGGGGGTACAAACATTTTGATTACATGTTATGACTTTGCCACATCCCAACCATGATTTGAGACATGCCCCTTCCCCGCCTACAACACTCACCGAGTCCATTAGTTGTGAGTTCACCTACCCCCAATCCCCCTACCCCCAAAGAATATTACTACTGTGTTAGACAGCAATTTCTTAAAATAGCTCTACAATCACTTAATGTTCACAAGGTGTAAAATTTATTTTTCTGAAAGAGGTGTATAATCCTCCTGGTGTTATATGCTTGATAATCACAGGTTGTTAATTATCCTTTTCCCCAATAGAGAGGAAATGCTAATTTTTTGTTGTATTTGGGAAGCTTTTCAGGCTGGTAAAGAGGAACTCAGCCCAGGGGCTCCCATAGTAGGTGCCCCAATTTAGGTAGGGTGCGTAGGGAAGGCTCTCTGAGGACCCTGCAGGGATGAGAGGCTGGGGAAGGACAGTGATATCCAACCAAGCAGAGGGAGGGTCATATGCACGGCCTTCGGGCATGGAAGGACCAGCCTGCTCAGATAACTGAGAGAAGACCAAGGCGGCCACAGAAGAGTGGGTGAACAGGCAAGTCAGAGACTCGCAGGGAGGAGGGAGGGCCAAATACACAGGATGTGTAGCTCAAGGGAAGGACATAGCACTTTGATCAGTTTGATGGGAAGCCACGGAAGGGTTTTATGTGATACAGTGATTTGTTTACACTTTTAAAAGATCGTATTGTCGTTACACGGAAAATGGATTGGAGTGAGACAAGAGGGAGCAGAGACACCAGTGAGGAGTCCAGATGAGAGTGTGACAACTTAGAGGAGGGTGACGGCAATGGAAATAGGTGAAAGTGGCTGAATTAAAAATATATTTTGTAGGGAGACTCTGCATAATTTTCTGATAAACTGGATTTAAAGAATGAAGGAAAGAGAGCAATCAAGGATAATTATAATGGATAACATTAACCACCTACTCTGTCCAGGTACTGTTATAGGGTAATACATAGAATATCTCATTTGCCGCTCAGACCAATCCTAGGAGGTGGGCTCTATGATCATCCCCATCTCACAGGTGGAAGAAAGGAGGCAATCAGAACAAAACAAAACTGGTTCCTTTCAGTGAAGGACATTATTCAGATCCCACACCTGAACGTTAGACATGCTTGCTACTGGGGTATAGCTACTTGTAGGCCAGCTCAGGGGACAGAGCCAGGGAATTTTAATCAGACAGACAGATACATACACACACAGTCACTGTGGTAGACTGAATAAAGCCCCACCACAAGATGTCAATAGTCTAATCTCTGAAAGCTGTGAACATCACCTTACATGGCATAGCCTTTTAAGATGTGATTAAGTTAAATTTTTTTTTTACTTGGGGGGACCATCCTGGATTATCTAAGTGGACTGTAAATGCGATCATATGTATGTTCATAAAAAGGCAGAAAAGGGAGATTTGAGGCAGAAGCACAGAAAAGCAGAGCCACAGACAAGATGCTATGCCCTTGGCTTTGAAGATGGAGGAAGTGGCTTTGAGCCAAGCAACGCAGCTGGAGAGGCTGGAAACGGCAAGGAAACACCATACCCTCTAGAGTCCCCAGAGGAACCACTGTCCTGCCAGCACCTTGGTTTTAGCCCTTAAGCCTCCTTTAGGACTTCTGGCCTCCAGAACTGTAGGAGAATAAATTTCTGTTGTTTTAAGCCACCAAGTTTGTGGTACTTTGTTACATTCAGCAGCCATAGGAAACTAGTACAGAGAAATCACTCATATTTTTCCCATAAATGTACTTCTGCTGCTTTCAAGTACACATGAGCCATTAATGAGATAATCACAGGACTAATGTAACTTGTTATCCCACCTATACTGATCCTTGTTAGTGTAGTTCATCCAAATACACTTGGCTCTTCCACTATGATTAAGAAAGCTACATTGCTGAGAAACAAAGAACAAGATCCATTTCTTCAGTATACCTGGTAATAAAGAGGAAGACTCAAATCCAAGCATGTGCAGCATTATTTCCTTTAAAAATGTATGTGACATATGCCTGCACATAAACAAGTGGGAAAAACACTGGCGCTTGGGCAGAAGGGGATGCCCATGTATTCCCGGTAACCAGCCCCTATTCCCTTGACAGGCTGATTGGATAGATGCTGTAACAGTCAATAACAACATCGAGCAATATTGGGATAGAAAGCCACTTGCCACTAAGAGCAGAGAGGCCAAAAACAGCCAGGAGACAAATCAGGTAACTGAAAAGCCAAATCTTTAATTTCTGAAGGTTGGAAACAGCATTGAAACCTAAGGGCAAAGCAGGAAATGGGCCACAGGCTAAGGAGCCCCTCAGCAAAAAGCAAGCGCAGCCCCTCACCTAGTCATATCCAGCCCTGCTGCCAGCCTGTTTTTAATTGTCTGAGCACAGGAGACAGAGCACAATCCAGGGCCTTTTTAAAAGCCCCTAGAGGTCCATTCTCATTTTCCCACCAGCTGCTGCCTGTTCACTCTGCCCATTGCCTGAACCCACACTCCCCTGGGACTAGGGCAAGTGGGTTCTGCCGCTCCTGCAGGCATGGAGTCAGGGCAGGCAGCCTAGGCAGGGGTGACAGGGTGGCCCAGAGTACAGCTGCAGAGTCCCCAGCTGGCTTCCGTCAGCACTCATGTCGAGTCAGAGGAAAAGGACGTGAAAGCGCACCTTTCACAGACTCGAACCAGTCTTCCTTTGATAACCTTTGCCTTGGACACATTTTAGTCATCTTTTAACCAAACGGAAAGATGATATCCCCTTCTAGGAAGTGTGCCTGTCCTGGGCAAGGCTCTGAAGTCATAGCACAGTAGGGCTTCTTACCGAGGGTGATAGCTGCTTGACTTTTTTGAAGCGTGATGTAGAAAGTTGGGAGGCAGGAAGCTAGGATGATAAACATTTGTTTGTAATAAAGCCTCCCATGAAACCGAAGTAAGACCAAGGGATCGAGTTTTCCTCACTGTCCTTCACTAAGACACTAAATAACTAAAGAGTTGGAGAGCTTCGAAGAAAGAATTTAAAAGAAAATGAACAACCAATATCTGCCTTTCCCAGCATCTCACAATGAGTAATGATGGATGCACAGGCCTTTGACAGCCAAAGTACAGACCCAGTGAGTCAAGTCTCCAGTTCACCTTTCTTTTTCCCTACCTGGTACTTCCCTTCATACCCTCCTCAGGCTCTGGATCTGTGTGCTTCTCATAACGTTTAAAATTCATTAAATAAACCAGAGAGTATAAATATTCACATTTTAAAAATAAAAACATTGTTAAGCCTTTGAACGCATCTCTTACTTGCTACAGACCTTTTTTTTTTGGTCTCTTCCACAACATCCAAACAGATTCCAGATCCTTAATCAGGAAGCTGGGAGCTCTCCCCATGAGGAGAGTACTTCAGGATTTAAATTGGGTCACATGAGGAAAGGCTGAAAACCACAGAGAACTTTAAAAGTCAGTCCAGACATAAAACCATCCACATACAGCCAACTGATCTTTGACAAAGCAGACAACAATATACACTGGGGAAAAGAAGCCCTATTTGATAAATGTTGCTGGGACAATTGGATAGCCACATGCAGAAGAATGAAACAGGATCAATTATCTCTCACCAATCAGAAAAATTAATTCAAAATAGATAAAAGACTTAAATGTAAGGCATGAAACCACAAGAACTCTAGAAGAAAATGTTGGAAAAACTCTTCTAGATATCGGCCTAGGTGAAGAATTTATGAAGAAGACCCCAATGGCAATCACAGCAACAACAAAAATAAATAAATGGGACTTGATCAAACTAAAAAGCTTCTGCACAGCCAAGGAAATAAC